TACATTATCTCTCCTCAAAGACACATAAAACATATGCACACACGAACACACATGCACCCACACACTCTCCTCACACAGACACACGCACACGCACACACACACACGCTCATCTAATTCCACAATAATCATTGCACTAACCAATTTTGAGACCTATAGCGCCGCTCCTATCTAAAACCAGTAGGAGAACACAAAGGTGATTCACACAAAGTTAGTGAACAGACAACATGTGACTGGAGGAGGAGGAGGAGGAGGAGGAGGAGGAGGAGGAGGAGGAGGAGGAGGAGGAGGAGGAGGGTGAACGTCCCATTATCATTCATATGAAGATTGATGAGACACATGACTGCTGAAGTGTGGTCGGCAATCAGCGTGCCAGATAGGACATTCACACATGAAAGGCCTGAGACACACACCTCCCCCCGTGTCTCTCAGCACAACACACACGCAAGCTCACTCGCTCGCACACACACACACACACACACACACACACACACACACACACACACACACACACACACACACACACACACAGGAAGAAAAATAAATCAACCAAGTGATATGGAACCACGCACCTGCCCCATGAAGTCAGTGAAGAACAGCATGTTGCAGAGAAATGCCGTCCATCCTAGCAGGTGACTGATGCACAGGCACCGGTAGTGGTTTGGCATATTGAACATGGCCTTCATTAGCGACCTGAATGTCATTCTCTTCTGGGCCTGGAGACAGACAGACACACACACACATGCAAGGAGAGACACACACACGTGCACACACACACACACACATGTGTGCACACACACACACATGCCGGGAGAGATGACAGATTTTAAGAGAAAGAGATGGGTATTTTACAGTAATTTATTATAATTTATAATAAATTACCGTTAAATCCTACGGTCCTTAATTTAAGGACCGTGGGAATAAAACATTGGAAGAAAAAGTCAATAAATGAGGTTATTTTACAAAGGTTGGATAAGATATGGCGTTCCTATATATTACATTTTTTATTTGTTTAATTTTACTGTGGTGGAAATCAGCTTCTGCGAGAGTAATTCTCTCAGTTCCCCATAAAAAAAACTGACTTGTTATAGCTGAAGTATGTTGAAGACATTTTTTTTGGAAATATTTGAATCCTTGTGAACCAGTTGGGAAACTGTACTGTCGACAAGTGGATGTCTGCCTATTAGTCTGTTTATCTCTCTGTCTGTTTGTCTGTCCGTCTATCTGTCTGCCTGCCTGTCTGTCAATCTGTTCATCTGGCTGTCAATAGAAGCACTAGAAACACTATTTATCTATTATTCCCTGCCCATCTGCCATCAATCTGTCTATCAATTATTTGTCCATCTCCCTGTCTATCCACCCATCTAGAAACCAAGTAACCCCCCCACCCACCCACCCCCCATTTTAATCAATGAGGGTTCATTGTAAAAAGCCATTGCTATATTTTCCTGTATTGTTCCTATTATCTGTATTGTCTGTGTTGTTTTGTGTTGTCTGCAAATGTGTGACGCTGCAAATCCGCAGGTGCTTAGCCTCAATCGGACCAATCTGCATCAATTAAAGTCAAATCAAATAAATAAATATAAATAAAATGAAATGCAGCCACCCCACCCACCTCCTTGTTGGGCTGCTTGGCGCTGGAGGTGACGGCGTTGGCTTCTGACAGCGCGGAGAAGGACCGGGGCCGGAGGTCCACGGGGGTCTGGAGGACCACCGGCGAGACGTGCTCCTTGGGCAGCGATCCGTAGCCTCCGCCGGTGCTCTGGGACCGCAGCAGGCGGATGGCCCCGGAGGAGGAGGACGGCGTCTCAGGGGACGCCCCGACCTTGTCCAGAGGCGTCTCCGGGATGCTGACCAGGTGGACGGCGAGGAAGATGCCCCAGGTCAACGCAGAGAAGAAGTAGATGACCTGGTACTCAGAGCCCAGCAGCTCGCCCAGAGCGGAGTGGCCCCAGTCCATGGCTCCCACCAGGTAGCCGAAGGCTCCACCCAGACCTGGAGGACCACCACCACCGCCACCGCAGCAAACATCAAGAACACGTAACAGCAGTGGCCTGTTTGGGTGGACCGTAACACAGAGGGGGGGCACTAGACTACAACACTGTACCTTTGCAGAGTGCTGCAGAGAATATATACTTATATACATATAAAACATATTAAATATGACAGCTCCAGAGCCACATTTATTCGGCTTCCACATACTTCAACTGTACTTCTCCAGCCTAGACTTATCGCGATTTAAATTGGATTTATATGTCGGAGGAAGCGGAGCTACACCGCTAAGTAACATGTCCAATTTTGCGGCAGACCAGAAGTCCCATTTGTTTAAAATTGACACCAAACCAAAAGTTAGTCGTTGTTAAAGTGTGTCAAGCTGCATCCTCCTGAGGGCCAGCCGGGTTCTCCTAGACAGCATGACCAAAGCTTCCCCTCCGTGACCCCTAGCGTGAAGAGACAAGTCCCAGCAGACAAACCAATGGCCTTGATGAAGATGCAGATAACTCAATGTTTGTTTGAGTTGAAGTTCACATGAAGTTAACATGCTGATCTTATATTCTGAAATGTGCACACACACTGTGCTCAAGTGCACAATGTGTGTGTGTGTGTGTGTGTGTGTGTGTGTATGTAGAATATACATACCTACATATTAGTTTCACATCAAGCAGTGGCAGTTCGTTAAAATTGCTGCGACCTCTGAAGGTCACCAAACATTTAAACTATTTAAATTGCTGCTTCAATATAAAGGTCATGCTATTTTCATAAATGATTGCAAGAGTTAAAAGTCTAATCCATCAAAAATATATATTATAATATATAATGCATAGCTATATATAAGTCCCCAATTTACATTCAACATTTTATTTTATTTTTTTTGTTTTTATATCCCTCAGAACAAATCATGATGTTTTATATTTCTTATTACGTTTGGCCTTTTTTCTCACTCCTCTTTCAACTGACATTTTAGTAAAATCTCTTCATGTCAAAACCCAGGTCTTTCCCCTATAAAAGAAAATCATAAGTGGGTACTAACTATGTAGGCAATAAGCCTTGTAGCGACCCAGATCCAGGTCCGACCTGCGGTCCCACACATCATGCCCTCTCTTTCAACCTACTTTCCAGGATTACAAAATTCCAGAATACAGAAAACAAATAAGATATTGATATCTCTCCCATTCAACATAACCTACAGACACATACACACACACTAATATTCCACAACTCTCTCTCTCTCTCTCTGGTCACACATACACACACACACACACACTAATAATCTATCTCTCTTTCCCTCTCTCCACACACACACTCACACGTTCTCTCTCTCCACACACACACACACACACACAAACACACACACTCACTTTCTCGTGCTCACTCTCCCTCCCTATACGAGCGTCACATGATGCCAGTGCCTAGCGGTGGCGTCGGGGTTGATCCTGACGCGGGTCATGTGTCCAGGCTCCCTCTCTCTCAGCCCAGCCCCGTGACTGCAGCACATGACCCTGGCTGGGCTGGATTATAGCGGCCCCACACCGGCGGCTCGCTGCACCCTGGGCCTCGTGTCAGCTGATGAGCACATCCCTGGCTTCTGGGTCCTCATACTCTCTGGGGTAAAGCAGAGGCTTGGTGCTATATGTAGCAGCACTGAGTGGTGTTATGGTTATGGTCAGGGTCGTAATTATGAGTATGCTTGTTATGATGATGTTTATTATTATTATTAGTAGTAGTGGTGGTGGTGGCAATAGTACACATAGAAAAAGTAGTAGTAAGAGTAGAAGTAGAAATGATATTGCAAGAAATATTAGATATAGTAGCCTCCTATTGCTAGTAGTAGCGGCAACTGGGCAACTGTCTTGGCGCTGTAGCTCAATATGGCAAGAAGGACAAGCCACTACATTTTGGTGTTTTTTCTGTGTCTGGTACATTGGGACTTTTTACTTTAACCATATCAGCCACCATTTCCCCACATCACTTTGATAAGAGATAACATAAGATAAGATAAGATACACCTTTATTAATCCCTGGAGGGAAATTCAGGTGTCATAGCAGCAGGAGCAATGAGAATGAAACACAAAATAGAGATAAAGTAAAATACTGAGCAGCTGGCCCTAAATGTCTGCACTAGATCTCAGAAAGAGTGAACGCATGTACAAAGTGACAAGTTGACAATGTGTTTGCACAGATAACAGATACATGTACACTGTGAAAAAACCGTCGCCAACATCTTGTGCAAATAGAAACTACTGTATATAGGAAGTTGGAAATAGATAACATATAATACAATCCCTAAACCTTTCATACAATCCTGAGTCCAGTGTTTAAATTAAAGGTCCAACTTTGAATTTCACTCCTTTAAGAAGTCTGTATCAAGCAGCCTTGCTATTACCTCTGGAAGTAATGATAAACAATACCATTTCTTCTATAGCTAAACATATTCACACCGAATAAATTAACAGGCAGGAGCTGAGGACAAACAGGACATGGAGCCAGGTTTTCACATTAACACAACCTCAACACACTGGGTGATAATTACAAAAACTGTGCGTGTGTGTGTGTGTGTGTGCGCGCGAGTTTGTGCAGTTGTATTTGTGGGTTTGTGTGTGTGTGTGTGTGTGTGTGTGTGTGGGTGCACATGCATATATGTGTGTGAGAGTGTGTGGGTGTGTGTTTGTGTGTGGATGCATGTGCATGCATGCATGTGTGTGCAAATGCATACATGCATGTGTGTGCACATGCATGTATGCATGTGCACACACAACATGCATGTGTGTGCACATGCATACATGTGTGTGTGTGTGTGTGTGTGTGTGTGTGTGTGCATGTGTGCATGTGTGTGTGTGTGTGTGTATCTGCACACACACGGGACATTTCAGTTATCATTAGCATGGGAACACGTTCATTAGACTACTGAATGGTGGTTAATAAACAGTGGACTACATCACAGACACTAATCTGATGAACATTGTGTACAGGGCTGAATCATCATAGTGTCCTTGTGTTTATAGGGCCAGTATAGTCTAGTTAGTTATGGCGTTTGTGTGACCCGAAAGGTTCTGGGTTCGAACCCCAGTGTCCCCTGGTCTACCTGCCAGCATCCTTGAGCAAGATACCATCCAGTCAAGATGCTGTAGTGGCTAGGTTGTTCTCCCTCCCAGTCAGAAGTTACTGGGCTCGACCTTTACTGTCCGCACCCTACCTGTAGGCAGGGGCGATTCTAGGGTCAGAGCTTTAGGGGTGCTGAGCACCCAATGAGCCCCACTGCCACCACCCACCCTTTGTTCACACAAAAACAAAAAATATGTCTATTGAAAAATAACTTTCATTCACACACACACACACACACACACACACACACACACACACACACACACACACACACACACACAGAGTAACGCTAGGAGTTAGTATATACTATGCCCCCATGAATGTGATGTGATTATTATTGTTGCAAAGCCTGGTTCAGGTTAAATCCTCTGTAAAACATGAATGAATACAGCAAAAGAAAAACATTTAACTTTATTTTATTGTCTGGTTTGATAGTCAGACAACTGAAAAATAACAGATATAAATCTATGAATAAATAACAATTAATTTAAAAAGCCACAATGAGTGTTTTCACACATACTGGTGGTATACAGTGATGTGTCATTTCGTTTGTTATCACTCTGGTCCAAACGCCGCACCACTGGCAGGGCTTCATGTTTCCATGACGACGGACCAGAAAAGACGCGCGAATTACGTAAGTTATTTACACAATTTACGTAATTTACGTAAATTACGTAAATTGTGTAAATAACTTACGTAATTTGCGTAAGTTACGTAAATTACGTAATTTACGTAAATTACGTAACTTACGCAAATTACGTAAATAACGTAACTTACGCAAATTACGTACGTTATTTACGTAAGTTACGCAATTTACGTAACTTACGTAATTTACGTAAATAACTTACGTAATTTGCGTAAGTTACGTTATTTACGTAAGTTACGTAAGTTACGCAATTTACGTAATTTGCGTAAATTACGTAACTTAAGCAGATTACGTAAGTTATTTACGTAATTTACGTAAATTGTGTAACTTACGTAACTTACGTAAATAACATAACTTACGCAAAGTACGTAAATAACGTAACTTACGTAAATTACGTAAATAACTTACGTAAATAACGTAAATAAAGTACGTAAATTACGTAAATTGTTTTCACTCTGGTCCAAACGCCGCACCACTGGCAGGGCTTCATGTTTCCATGACGACGGACCAGAAAAGACGCGCGAATTACGTAAGTTATTTACACAATTTACGTAATTTACGTAAATTACGTAAATTGTGTAAATAACTTACGTAATTTACGTAACTGACGTCATGTTGACATGACTCCCGATTGTTAAAATGAGTCTCAAAGTAACGATAAACTTTAACAACAGAGACACACGTACGCACTACACAGGTACTTGTGGCGCTGCTGTTTCTGCTTAATAAATGGACTCCAGTTCGACTGTAGCCGCGCTAGTGGCGCTAACGGAGCTAACCGGGCTAACAGAGCTAACTGGTAAACGGTGCCTGGACTCCAGCACTCACCGATATGGTATCGGAATCGGAACAACTCTCGGTAAAAGGAAAGAAGTGTGAGACACAGCTTTGGAGCAACTTACTTAGTTGATTCACAACACTACAACTAAACGGATCTCACTCTGCGTGAGTCGCGCTGGACGCCGGTCGGGCTGCGGAGCGGTGCAGAGGAGAAGGAGGGGTGAGAAGAGGATGATACCATTTGCTAAGCGGGGATGTTTTCATTTTCGTCCTTAACATATACATTTTAAACCACAAACTACGGAGTATGTTTTGGACATTAGTTAACCCTGTCAAAGACAAACACATTTTTTAGAATAACATTTCTTACCCAAGTTTTAGGGGTGCTGAGCCTGTTTTTAGGGGTGCTTCAGCACCCCTAAAAATGGGCTAGCCTCGCCCCTGCCTGTAGGCATCCTTAAGCAAGATGCCTCTACCTTACCTGCTCATTAATGACATGTATAGTCCAATCATCGTCATAAGTGGCTTTGGATGAAAGTGTCTGCTAAATAAATGTACTAAATAGTGTGTTGTGTGAATGTGCACCCATCCACTTCCACGAACCTGTGAGCAAAGCGTGGTAGTGTAGGCCTCTCTCCTTGTCTTGGTAGGAGCACACGTCAAAGAGGTAGGCCTTGATCGGCCCATCGATGAAGTCTGCCGCAAAGTCGAACAGCACTACTCCCAACATCACCACCACGATGGCCCATATCCTCTTCAGTTCTGGCTCACTGATCATTTCTGCAAGACAACACACACACACACACACACACACACACACACACACGAATGCATGCATGCACATTAAAATAGCAAATCACATGTACGAATCAACTCAAATTATTCAGTTCCCTTGGAATAACAGCTGATTTAAATTATGTCATAATGTATAATTTGGCAAATAAAGTTAAGTTAAGTAAAGAATCGTTGTGACAGGTTTGTTTTTTTTCTTCAAGAGAAGGATACAGTGGAAACAAAACTAAACAACAAAACCACTCACATTTGTGTCCCCCCCCCCCCTCCCAAAAAAAAAAAGAGCTCAAATTGGCGGTGTCAAGAGGTGATTTTGGATTAACCACCTAATCAAACAAGCACGCTGTGAATCTAAAATCAGCCAGCGGTTTAACAATATGCCCACATCATGTATGTATTGTTAGTCTTACCAGGAAAGGAAAATATAACTAGAAGCTTGAACCCATGGGTCATTCTTTTCAATGAAATGCTAATAGTACTGCCTGAACAGAGCTATTATGCTTCAGCCATTATGCCAGAGGACATCTGTGGTACTTCATTACAACCTTTGGAGCATTGACAGATAATCAGCTTATGATTGTTGAACACTCTCTTCTGATTGGCCAATTGGTAATACATGTTTGTTGTTGTATTTTGTGTCAAATGATTGATTACTGATTAGTAAGTATTCCCGTCGGCAGTGTTGGGAAAGTTCACTTTCTGCATAAACTAGTTCAAAGTTCAGTTCACAAATTTTAAAATGAACTAGTTCAATTCATAGTTCATAATTCAACATTTTGAACTAAGTTCACAGTTCCAAAAATGAACTAGTTCATAGTTAGAGCTATTATTTTTCAAAATTATTGCCACAGACAGTAATTATTTTATCAGTTTTAACACTGAAACTATGTGTCAGATTTCATCTTCGTATCCAATGTTGAATCTTTATCCAACCAGGGTTTACATTAGCATTAATTAATTGCGGAGGCAGAGTGTGAGGTAGTGCTGCAGCCGTCATTTGTTTTTGCCTCCATGCTTCATTTAGATGACGCAACGGTGCGACTCTGTGGTGGCTGGTGTTGCCAGATGTCTATGGGTGTTGCCAGATGTTTCTCCGCTACATATTAAGGCCTGTTTTCGGTGTGTTTTAGGCGGGGTTTGCCTGGAAGGCTGTATGGAAAACTGGCACACTCTTGAACGAACTGTGAGAGAGCGCCGTTCACAAACGCCAGAATGAACGCGTTCACAATAACGTTCATCCGGCAGAAATACAGTTACGTTTAGTTCACGTTCGCCCAAAATATGAACGAGTTCATTGAACGCGTTCAGGCACAACACTGCCCGTCGGGTCGTGCATCACCCTGTCAGGGTTTATTTCACAATAATACCGGCTCGCCGTACGTTATCGCTCACTTATACAATGGATAGTTCTGGTCCTTGAATCTGATTGGCTCGCAGCCATTGTCAAATACACTATAAACACACTGTGACTGCATACCAATTCATTTGTAGTATTAATACGCCTGTATGCTAAAGCCTGTATGCTAGCCTGTGTTGCTTGACAACTATTTTGCTGTCTTGGGGAATTATATTGCTTGGTAGAAGAATGAAGATTTGTTTTATCAATAAATGACCGCATTTTATGTTGCTGTGTGCTTGTATTGTGTAATATTGTAAACCACGGCCTCTCAAGGCTTATTCTTTAAACGTGACCTCCAGCCCAGAGTGGTTGCAACCCCTAAACCAGCCAACAATATAAGTATTCTCCAAGACAGTATGTTTCCCCATGATTAGTGATCCAGTTATATAGTTTCGCCATGAATATGTACTATTATATGTAATATTCAAGAAATAAAACAGTAGGTATACAGTATACAAAACATCACAGTCACAGTAAATACAGGTAGCTGTGGAACCGTTTGTATCGTTGGTATTAACTGCCGATAGATGCAGAAAAAAACAATTTGTCCATTAGTGGATAATAATGTAGAGGATATTATGAAAAAGGTCATTCTAAGTCTGTGGTCCCAATTATGAATATGCCGGCATGGACTTCACAATGTGTTTCCACAGTTCTTAATGGGATGAATAGCATTATGCTACAAACCAAGCAGCAATGCGACTAGATCAAGGGTTACCCCCCCATGCATAATTGTGGATCCATCTAACAAAACATAGTGTTAGCAGAATGAATAACTCCTGATAGCATTTTTGTATTTCTCTGTGGAAGACAGATGAAGTAGTGATGAAGTAGTGATGTTGGTGTAAACAGGAAATTAAATACAGGTTGCGGTTTTTGCAATTTAGATAATAGTTGCTTTGGAGTGATACTGCTGTAAGTAGGGTTATTACAAATGCACTTGATTCATTTAATTGAGATTATTTTAACGTGTGTGTGTGAGTGTGTGTGTGTGTGTGTGTGTGTGTGTGTGTGCGTGCGTGCGTGCGTGCGTGTTTGTGTGTGTGTGTGTGTGTGTGTGCGTGCGTGTGTGTTTGTGTGTGTGTGTGTGTGTGTGTGTGTGTGTGCGTGTGTGTGAAAACCAAAGGGTGCTTTGGACTTTTTAGTAATTCAGCTGATAATGACCAACGATGATTGAACATTTTTAATCATTTTCAAAAATGAAAATGATTTACGGCTCTTTGATGACTGATAAGACTTTACTGTTACTTTACTGCACAAAGACATCTGACAATGTTAAGATGCAGGTCAGACACCAATAGATACACAAATATATAACAAAAAATAGGTACATTTCCCAATTCAAATATACCTGTATATACA